ACACACTCTCTCAAACACTCACTCACTCACACACACACACACACACCTCCGCTCATGATGTATTCTCTGAAGAAGGGAACTCTGAACCAGAAGGGCAGCATCAGCAGGTACGGCGTGAGTCCCGGGAACATCTGAGAGAATCCTGACGCTTCCGTGCAGAAATTCCCGAATCCGCCGGCCACCAGCACGCCGTGAGGATGAAACCCGAACAGATAATTATGACGAGAGTCCAGATCCACCGTCTTTATCAGCTAGAGAGACCAAACCATCCGTGACTCTTAAACGAGCGTCTTTATTGAGTGATTCATTGAACAAAAGCTCATATCAACTCACTGTGATGGGGAAATAATCCCTGAAATACGTCCACACGCGCCAGCTTCTGACCCAGCGTGACCTCCGACCTCCACATGAGGGCGTGTCCCTGTCCAGGTACAGCCAACCAGCATACAGCGCGGCCAGAATCCACCAATCACTGAGGCAGAGGAGCACAAACGCCGCCAGACAGACCTGAGCTGCAGACAGACAGACAGACATGTGTGATTTATTACAGCTCGACCGCCTGTGTGACTGAACTCTAGAGCCATGTGTGTTTGTACTCATGTCAAACATTCACACACACACATATACACACACACGCACACACTCACTCACACTCACACACACACACACACACACACACACTTCTGTTAGGAACTGACTGACTGCTGCTGTTTGATAGTTTGTGACTCAGAGGTTCAGTTCTGATACACAAACACAATGAACTCCAGATTTATTTCATGTTATTTTATCATTTCATTTTATTTTTTTATTTATGTATTATTTTATATATTTATTTGTTATTTTTTTATTTATTGTTATTCATTTCAAGGTATTTTATGTTATTTTAATTTTTTTAAGTATTATTTTATATATTTATTTGTTATTTTATTATTTTTTTTGATTGATTGTTATTTATTTCAAGTTATTTTATGTTATTTTAATTTTTTAATTAATTACTGTTATTTATTTTTATGCTACTTTATCATTTTATTTTATTTCTTTACATTTATTATTATATTATATATTTTATTTATTTCATTTTATTATTGTTACTTTTTACATCTATTATTACATTTATTTCATGTTTTTATTACTATATTTATGTTATATTTTATTATGTTTATTTATGTCATTTTGGGGGGGAAATTTCTCATTTCTGTTAATGTCATGACAATTCAGTGCAAATAAATTCCCCATATTTCACTCCAATAAAATGAAACATATTTTTAGAAACCAAACTGTACTAAACTGATATGATCAATAAGTAATTGCAACATTTTCCTGCATTACTTTAACTTATCTAAATTTAACCTATTTCTATTTGATTTCTACTCAATTATTTAACTCAGTTTAATGTAATTAAATTTGACTTGTACAGTCAATTTTATTATACTTTAAAATTTAAGGCAGCAACTGATTTTTTACAGTGAAGAAATAAAAATGACGATTTTTAAATAAATAAACGATTTTTATTTATTCGATTTTATGTTATTTTTTTATTTAAATCAGGATTAAATTGAGTACTAATCATTATATATTCACAGTTGCACAATGCACTTTTGCCAACACATTTATTTAATTTATAAACACATTTAAAAACAACTGTTACCCAATTTTTCTTCACTATTAAGTTAAAAAAGCAATAAATATATATAAAATAGTAGACATAAATGCGATGAAAATTTCACAATGCAAACAAATCATTGTTAGTACTTAATCTGCAGAATTTAATTCATCATGATTTTAATTAAAAAAAGTAAAATAAATAAATAAAAATCATTGTGAAAAATCATTGACAGAAACTTTTTCATGAAAACAATGTATCAAGTCAATGCAACAAATGCATTTTTCTAAGGCATCAAAAATTACACTTTATCTTTTGAATTTGGAATGAAATATGAAACTTCTGCTTAAGATTCAACTTATTAGAACACAATCTATAAATATCCACTTTTCTTAATAAGAAAACTTTTGCTCAACTGACAAACAGATCAACAAGAAAAGACGGAAAAACGTCTATTTGTCAATGCATATAATCGTGTCATATTCTATATGGAGTGTTATTATAATAAGGCCAGGCACTCACTCACTCACTCACTCACCCAGAGCTAGGAAGCTGAAGACCCACTGCACGAGCGCAGCTGTCTGCAGACGCCTGCGCAGAGGAACACGCAGAGGAGCGAACTCGACCTTCATCACCTCTCCACTAACACACACTTCCACAGTCTTCCTCAGAAGCAGAAGACAGTACAAAACATCAGCGCTCAAAGTCGCCTTTCCTTCATCGGAAACTATTTTCCTTCTATTGTTGGGGCGCCTGAATGCCGCTCAGCGCGTGTGCGGCCGATCCGAATGCGTTTTCGCGCTTTATAAATATTTACAAAGTTTTCTGAACTCGACCGAAGGCTGCGTCTCTGTTCCGCGTGCGAGCGCAGGACTCTCGAGCCGCCGTGACGTCATCGACCCGGCCCTCCCGCTCTGCGCCAATCAGAGCGCGCGGATCTGAGCTCCTGGTTCACGGATTTTGCAATTTATTTAAATATTTAATTATTAAACATTTATACACGTTCATTTCGCAACGTTAATTTAAGTCTTGGCCACTTAAACTAAACCAGCATATGGACAAACTGATGAATATTGCTAAAAAAAATAAGTGCCAAGGGAAAAAAAATCTATCTATCTATCTATCTATCTATCTATCGTTCTATCTATCTATCTATCTATCCATCTATCTATCTATCTATCTATCTATCTATCTATCTATCTATCTATCTATCTATCTATCTATCTATCATCGTTCTATCTATCTATCTATCTATCCATCTATCTATCTATCTATCTATCTATCTTAAAGCCAAGTATAAGCTTCTTTAAACATGCAGAGTTCTTATTATTTTATTTTTATATTTCTATCACTTGTACACGCATTTCCACTGCACTTACAAATTGCATAAATAATGTTATGAGATTAACGTTTTAAATATAAAAACTGGAATATAGAAATTTGAAATCATAGAAAAAAAATAGAATGATACTTTTAAATGTGAAACTAAAATTACCAGTAGGTGGCGGCAAGCCACTGTCTTAAAGGGATAGTTCACCCAAAAATTTAAATTAGCTCATGATTTACTCACCCTCAAGCCATCCTAGCTGTGTATGAGTTATATTTAAAAATGTCTTGGCTCTTCCCAGCTTTATAATGGCAGTGAATGGGTGTTGAGATTCAATAGTCAAATAGAAGTCCAATAAACTGGGCCAGTCCATCATAAAAAGTGCTCCACAACTCCGCGGGGTTAATAAAGGCCTCCTGAAGCAAAGCGATGCATTTGTGTAAAAAAAAAAAAAAAACATATTTAAAACTTTATAAACCATAATCTGGGCGAGAGCAGCGTGTATCGAGCGCGTGTCCGGTTTTGCGAGAGCAAAGGAAATCCGCATGCGAGCAGAGAGATTACTTTCGCGCTACAACAATGTGCTCTCGACATTTGGCAGAAAAATAACGCCATATTATCGTGAATCATATGATTCGGAGACACATAGATAGATACAGTTTTCACTGCTTTAGGATCAACAGAGCTTTAGATAGATTGCATATACTCGTCTAGATCAACTTTGAACAAAGCAAATGGAGATTTAGAGCCAGTAAATTTTTCTTTATGTGAAATTTAGCACAAACTTATTACGTAATATTTTCCTAAAAACGTTGGGTTGTTTAGGGCGAGATTCGGGACGGTTGCAACACTTTTTACATTTCCTTTAGTTTCTCAGAGACTGTTTGTGTTGGAAAGCCAAACTTTTAATACAATAAAGCAGCTACTCACCCACACTGTAACATGTACATATGATAATATATGTACAGTATATACTTGAATAGACAAAGTCAAATGTTGCAACTGACCCCATAGCAACATTCATTAAAATGTTGCAACATTCATTAAAATGTAACTAAAATCATTCTTAAATATAATGTTGCGATTTCTTTATTTTATTTGTAGACAGATAGGGTCTTCAATGAGTTAAACTAAAAACTACAAAACATTAATTTAATCAACATCAAGAAATGTAATAATAGCCTACTTTTGTTAACTGTGAAAGTTTACTCAGCTGAGGCAAGCTGCATAGCCACTATGTTAAGATACATCTAGTTTGACCAACTAAGAGTTAACCAGGTAATCAGTCTTACTTTCGACAAATCTACCATTTTATGTAACTGACTTTACACGTGTGAGTCCACCTTAGACTCGAACTGATTTTTACCCTATTTACTTAAATAAAAAAGAAGACCTGACTATTGAAAGGAGTGCAACTGAGACAGAAGCTACTGTGGTAAGTGACTATATCTGCGTGCAGAATCAAACCGGACGTTCAGGTCTCTGAATTCACTGCGACTGAACTGAACATGTTTCTGTGTCTGCTGTTTCATCACAATGAGATCAGAGTTCATCAGTCACACATTCCCTACAGACGCTCTGTCTGACACTGAAATGAGGGGAAAGTTACTGATATTATCCGTCTATTCAGAGCTGGGCAAGCCATAAGAGAACTAAGCGGCTGCTTAGGGCCCCTGTAGCCACCAGGGGGCCCCCAAGAGCACATGAAATAACAGCTTGATTTTTTTTCTTTTTTCTTTACATCAATGGACAATGGTAGTTATACAAAAACGCATTATTAAATGGGGAAAAACCAACGCTATATTATGTTAATGAGCTGCAGTCAGGCTGTGACTGTGATTATTGAAGTTGATCAATTTGCAGCATAACTGTCATAAATGTGACCCTGGAGCACAAAAGCAGTGTTAAGTCGCTGGGGTATATTTGTAGCAATAGCCAACAATACATTGTATGGGTCAAAATTATAGATTCTTCATTTATGCCAAAAATCATTAGGATATTAAGTAAAGATCATGTTCCATGAAGATATTTTGTAAATGTCCTACCGTAAATATATCAAAACGACCCTTATGACTGGTTTTGTGCTCCAGGGTCACAAATGTCACAAAAAAGGACATGTCCTTCTGATGCAGGGAAAAGAAAAAAGAAGAAAACAGAGGAAGAGGGAAAAAACAGCAAGATAAAGGTATGTTGAAAAAATCATGCAATCTAACTAATCGAGGCGATGTTGTGAGCCAAACATAAATATAAAAATGTCAGTGTGAAATTACAGTATATTCCAGCTTAATAACTGCATGACTTTCACAGTGGGACTTCTCTTGTAACATGATTTACATCAGCGTATAGCTTTGGGCTCTTTGCTATTATCATTAGGCCTCGGTTAGCTAGTTGAGTTGTTGTTGAACAGATGGCTTGCTGGAGAAATAGTTTGGAGGCGGGGCACAACCAATGCCAGCCGTGCTAGTGATGATACAGCAGGTGAGTTTAGATCAAGATATTTATATGGATAACCCATGACAGACAGTAGCATTACCTTCTACTATGACATCTAACATGGCTAGCTTTTATTATAATTATTATTTTCATCTTTCATCAGGTCCGACTCAGAAAAGACTGGTCTGGTAAGCAGAGAGCCACTGAAAACTTCACATTTCCTAAAGAACCTGATTGCCGAAGCTTCCACTCCAGCTACAGACAATCAATTAATGAGGAAAACCTCAAGCAGAGTCCATATTGTACATTTACATGTACTTTTTATATAAGAAGATGCTGTTTATCTTAAGTTATTTTATTTGTCGTTGATTGTTCTGCAGTTATCTATCTATCTATCTATCTATCTATCTATCTATCTATCTATCTATCTATCTATCTGTCTGTATATCTATCTATCTATCTATCTATCGTTCTATCGTTCTATCTATCTGTCTATCTATCTATCTGTCTATCTATCTATCGATCTATCGATCTATCAGTCTATCTATCTATCTATCTATCACTTTGTTTCTTGTTTAGACCAGGTTTTAATTTTTAATTTATGTTTATGTTTATGCACAAAACACGTACAATTCTCTACAATTTGCACAATAACTAAATACACATGATGAAACTGTCACACTTTTCACAACTTCTAAACATTCTAGATAACAAACTCAGTTATCAAAAACTGTCAGACATAAATACCTGACATGCAATGTTTCCTGTAACACATTGCTACGGAGATCAATGTACTGTATACTGTACATACACACGTGCGTGTTCTTTATCTGTGTATCACAGTACTGACAATTCCAGTAAACTGAAATCTGTGCAGAAAAGCTGAGTGTGACACAACAGCATCAGATGAATGAAATCACCGTACTGAAAACACATCAAAACATTTGACCAATTCAGCTCACATGATAACAAAAAACTTACTTTTAGTGCCAGAGCCCAATTTACTGACACAATAACTAGATTCTGAAGCATGAATTCTGTTTTTATTACATCTGCAGTTGTGATGCCCTATAAAACAGCTGTCACAATTGCTTTACAGAATATGAAGACTGTTTAAAAATATGAGATTGAGGAAAAACTGTGTCGCCCGCACAGACCCAAGAATATATGAACACGCTTGTAAAATGACATTTATGAATTTGTCAGACACTTTTATCCAATGCATTTAAATGCATCAGTTCACAGGTCCTGGGAATCGAGCTCATGACCTGTGCTGAGCAGAAATGCATTTAGCACATACAAAGTAAGTTACAAAAGCAATTTGTCAATATATGTAATATAATGCATAAACACAAATGCATGATTTACATACGGCAAAAAAAAAATTTTTTTTTTGTGGGCAGAATATATTTTAAACATATATAAAATATATGTTGTAAACAATGAAACTCAATTTAATGTATTTTTGAAATAGTTATACAATATATATATTATATTTGAAAATATGCAAGAAAGCACATTTCCAGTCTTATAATAGCCTACATTTAGACTAAATGCAATAACCTACTAGACATCAAAACTAGATCTACAATGATTTAGTCACGTTTAATTTGCTGTAACATTGTAAATGTGCTTTGTGGTGTTTCAAACAGCACTGTATTCTTCTCTTCAGAAACGTATGAGCTGTTGTTATATTCATAATGAATATATGCGCGTCTGCTTTGTCTGTACATGATGTTCCATCATTTTTAATGTCGATGAAAGCCAGTGAAGCGGAAACGCAAACACAGAGACTGACAGGTGCGAGACGCGCTCACCTCCTCACAACTACATGCGGATCAACATGCGAGCGATTAGCGCGAATAAATGAAGTCGAGCATCCCCTGAGCGTCACAGACCGACGGGCGGATGCTGAGACTCTGGACCAGAGGGGGCGTGGCCTGAAGAGAGGAGAGAGCTGCGATTGGCTGGAGAGCTGCTGATGGAGTGTGTGTGTGGGGGGGAGGGAAGGAGGAGGATTGGGGGGTATTACCGGGTGCGCGTGCGCTCAGCGCGTTTTTACCGCAGTATCTCTGGATTAGTGTGCGCGCTGCGGCACTCCACTCGGTTACCAAACGTCCGCTCGCATCCATCAGCACGAGCCGTTTCATCGCGCTTATTCCAAGCGGTTATATAGGCGGCGCGCACCGGAGACATGGCCAAAGAGGACGAGAAGAAGGAAACCGGGGAATGGAAGGAATTCTTCTGGAACCCGCGGACGCACGAGCTGCTCGGTAGGACGGCGAGCAGCTGGGGTGAGTGTCCGCCGGTGTGTGTGTTATATATAAGGCATTCGGTTTAACTGCGCGTTATTCCGGTGATGCGCGCGCCGCAGTTATTTCACTCATGTTGAGCGGAACGCGTTGCGCAATGCGTCTGTGTGCGCGTGTGAATGTGTTAAAGGACAATCTGACGATGCTGCTGCTGTTAAAGGTGAACGGGTGCCAAGAGCTGAAGGAGATTATGGGTCTCAGCTAGGAGGCACCGGTGTCCGCGCGGGTCGCCCTCGTTGAGGTCATTTAACAGATCGCGCGCGCTTGCCCGAGCATTCCGATCACTCACCGATCAGCGGCGGATTGAGCGCACGGGGCGCGCGCACGGTTATTCGGCGAGTGTCCTCCGCTCGCGCGCGCTCACGTGATGTGATTTCGCTCATATCCGGAGCAGCAGCACCCATCAGCAATTATATAACCATACACACACACACACACACACACACACTCTCTCTCACTGCAGAAAAGCTGAGTGTGACACAACAGCATCAGATGAATGAAATCACCGTACTGAAAACACATCAAAACATTTGACCAATTCAGCTCACATGATAACAAAAAACTTACTTTTAGTGCCAGAGCCCAATTTACTGACACAATAACTAGATTCTGAAGCATGAATTCTGTTTTTACTACATCTGCAGTTGTGATGCCCTATAAAACAGCTGTCACAATTGCTTTACAGAATATGAAGACTGTTTAAAAATATGAGATTGAGGAAAAACTGTGTCGCCCGCACAGACCCAAGAATATATGAACACGCTTGTAAAATGACATTGATGAATTTGTCAGACACTTTTATCCAATGCATTTAAATGCATCAGTTCACAGGTCCTGGGAATCGAGCTCATGACCTGTGCTGAGCAGAAATGCATTTAGCACATACAAAGTAAGTTACAATGCATATTTGTCAATATATGTAATATAATGCATAAACACAAATACATGATTTACATACGGCAAAAAAAAAAAAATTTTTTTGTGGGCAGAATATATTTTAAACATATATAAAATATATGTTGTAAACAATGAAACTCAATTTAATGTATTTTTGAAATAGTTATACAATATATATATTATATTTGAAAATATGCAAGAAAGCACATTTCCAGTCTTATAATAGCCTACATTTAGACTAAATGCAATAACCTACTAGACATCAAAACTAGATCTACAATGATTTAGTCACGTTTAATTTGCTGTAACATTGTAAATGTGCTTTGTGGTGTTTCAAACAGCACTGTATTCTTCTCTTCAGAAACGTATGAGCTGTTGTTATATTCATAATGAATATATGCGCGTCTGCTTTGTCTGTACATGATGTTCCATCATTTTTAATGTCGATGAAAGCCAGTGAAGCGGAAACGCAAACACAGAGACTGACAGGTGCGAGACGCGCTCACCTCCTCACAACTACATGCGGATCAACATGCGAGCGATTAGCGCGAATAAATGAAGTCGAGCATCACCTGAGCGTCACAGACCGACGGGCGGATGCTGAGACTCTGGACCAGAGGGGGCGTGGCCTGAAGAGAGGAGAGAGCTGCGATTGGCTGGAGAGCTGCTGATGGAGTGTGTGTGTGGGGGGGAGGGAAGGAGGAGGATTGGGGGGTATTACCGGGTGCGCGTGCGCTCAGCGCGTTTTTACCGCAGTATCTCTGGATTAGTGTGCGCGCTGCGGCACTCCACTCGGTTACCAAACGTCCGCTCGCATCCATCAGCACGAGCCGTTTCATCGCGCTTATTCCAAGCGGTTATATAGGCGGCGCGCACCGGAGACATGGCCAAAGAGGACGAGAAGAAGGAAACCGGGGAATGGAAGGAATTCTTCTGGAACCCGCGGACGCACGAGCTGCTCGGTAGGACGGCGAGCAGCTGGGGTGAGTGTCCGCCGGTGTGTGTGTTATATATAAGGCATTCGGTTTAACTGCGCGTTATTCCGGTGATGCGCGCGCCGCAGTTATTTCACTCATGTTGAGCGGAACGCGTTGCGCAATGCGTCTGTGTGCGCGTGTGAATGTGTTAAAGGACAATCTGACGATGCTGCTGCTGTTAAAGGTGAACGGGTGCCAAGAGCTGAAGGAGATTATGGGTCTCAGCTAGGAGGCACCGGTGTCCGCGCGGGTCGCCCTCGTTGAGGTCATTTAACAGATCGCGCGCGCTTGCCCGAGCATTCCGATCACTCACCGATCAGCGGCGGATTGAGCGCACGGGGCGCGCGCACGGTTATTCGGCGAGTGTCCTCCGCTCGCGCGCGCTCACGTGATGTGATTTCGCTCATATCCGGAGCAGCAGCACCCATCAGCAATTATATAACCATACACACACACACACACACACACACACTCTCTCTCACACACTCTCTCTCTCTCTCTCACACACACACACACA